AACGTCAGCCTCTCTGCTCCTATGATGCTGCTTGGCCTGCTGTGTTCCATCATAATTTATCTTCATTTCATGTTTCGTTTTCAAGGTTCAGTTGTTAATTTAGTTAATTGATTTGTCACAGGCAACACAAACTATTTCTTACACTTATCTGTCCCTCCTTGTAGCTTGTACACTTCTAATGTCTGTGAAGTAATGAGTGTTGAGCTCTAAGCACTTGCATTGGAATTATGCTTATCCAAATTCAGATTCATATCTCATTTTTACCCTCAAACTGACAGTTGAAATATCATCCTTTCAAAAGATTGGACATTTTTCCTTGATTTCATTGGAGTACTAACTGAGTCTCTGGGCTGAACCTAACACTTTTTTGGCCAAGTGTGAGTTGCATCTAGTAGTTTTGGAGGGTTTCTCTCCTTGAGACAAATTGAGTTTTCTTACTGCAGCTTACCAACTTCACCTCAATGTCTACCAACCCCGTTCTGATAGTGCTCCTGACATCTGATCCTGGCCCTATCTTACCACACACCCTCACGGAATAGCTCACTACTTAGCAGATATTCCAGAATTGAGCAGCATCCCTTGTGCCCGTGCCATCTTTAAAGTCCGTTGTGCACCTGAGCAAGCACTGTTTGCCTGGAGCTACCCTCTATGGTTCCTGACATTTGCCTTAGACATGGCAGACAGGGAGCTAGAGGTCCAGCTGGATGGGGTGGTGCAGAAATGGGATTTCCTCTTCCCCAGAACCAGCAGTATAGGCTAGAACACAGGACCATACCAGTCAGTGTCAAGGTTGCTAGCTTGGTCAGTTCAGCCTCAGCCAGCAATGTAGGAAAATGGTCAATGACCTTCTCCACTTTGCCAGCATAAATACCACCATCTTCTCTCCAATATCTCAAATGCACTCTACCTCTGCTATTGTTCCCACTTCCCTCCAAGGCTCATGCTGTACCATTCTCATTAATGACTGCAACATCCTCACTCGCTTTCACCCATGCCAACCACCAATAGCTCTGAACCTGCATACCCTCAGCACCGCCCACATTCACTCAGGGCCCCTCCCCACCTGCACCAAAAGTAACAGCTGTTCATCCACTTTCATCTCCTGCCTCTGTCTCTTTCCAAGAGGAAAAATAGCCCATAAAGGGCTGAAAGATTGAAGAGAAGCAGTGGCTGCTGCACATTCAGCTCCTCACCCTTTATGTGGAGAGCATCCTAACTCTAACCACCTCAAGCAGAGGTTGCCCTTGTCTTCATGTGCTGGGATGCCTGATTGAAGGCTATCTCCATTGACTTGAAGGAGGCCTGCTCACAACCACAATAATCTTCATTCCTTTGCACCCATGCTAAACAACATGGCAATGCAGAAGTAATGTGAGGCTGTTATTTATGGCTGAGGGTGCGAAGCGCTAATGGGCAAGACAGGAATGCTGTCAGTATCCACGTAGGCCCAGAGTGACTGTGCGCTATCACAGCAAATGGAGAGCCTGGAGTTACAGCCTGGTCCAGTCCATGAACTGGATGTACATCCCTGAGCACACAGTGTTCTTGCTGCAGCACTACAATGATACTTGCCTTTGCAATCTGAGGTACAGCATCAAAGTGCAGAAGCGAGCTGTCAGTACAAGTGGAACGGAGATGTGCCGTGAGGTTTCGTAAAGATTGGCACATGTTGGATGCCAGTGTCCATGGACATGGGTGCATGTGGCCTGTGATCATGGAGCATTCCTTGTCAGTTCCCAGTGTCCGATGTGGATGTGCTTTGGAGCAAGCAGCGAGCTGAATTCCATGACAAATTTTCTCAACCGTCAAGGTCATTTGGTGAGTTTGGTAAAATAAAATGGTGAATAATGGGGCTGATTCAGCCATCAACATAGCATTTAACAAGCTCAAACCACTATTAATTGGCATCACCGCCTAGTGAGAATCTTGTCATGCTGCATGTCAAAAGCATAAAATTTGGAACATGATACTCCTGGTATTGAAATGGGCTTAGCCAGACTTCTTGTCTGATTCTGCCACTGGTCTCACTCTAGCCCAAATTACTCAGCCCCCTATACAATTTGACGCTCTGTGTCCAATTTTTATGGTGGTTTCATGAAAGCAAGAAAAAGAAATCCTGCATTTTACCAAAACTTTAATTGTTAATGTCTGCCATTGAACCTTTGCAACTGCTTTCACTTTCCTGTTCTCTCCAAGAGCGATCGGTCGATTTATTTTCCAGATTTTAGGTCAAGTGTTCCCAAGTACGTGACTTTCAAATCACCTGGGAAAATTGTGGAAGAAATGTAGAACATTGCAACTGTTATAAAACAAGTCAATCCATATTCTTTATATTGACATTCTGACTTTCAGAATTCAAAATAAACAAAGATCGTACGCATGAATACATTGAGATAGGAGTTGGAGATTACCCACTGGAACATTGCAGGTTTCTTCAATTCTGAATTCAATGTACATTAGTGGGGAGGTGATGGCCTAGTGGTATTATTGCTGGATTGTTAATCCAGAGATCCAGATAATGTTCTGGGGACCCAGGTTCGAATCCCACCATGGCAGATGGTGGAATTTGAATTCAATTAAAAAATATCTGTAATTAAGAATCTAATGATGACCATGAATCCATTGTCAGTTGTTGGGAAAAACCCATCTGGTTCACTAATGTCCTTTAGGGAAGGAAACTGCCATCCTTACCTGGTCTGGCCTACATGTGACTCCAGACCCACAGCAATGTGGTTGACTCTTAACTGCCCTCTGGGCAATTAGGGATGGGTAATAAATACTGCCTGGCCAGCGTTGCCCTCATCCTGTGAATGAATAAAGAAAAAAAAAATGTATAAAAGTAATTGCACAGACACATAAAAGAGAAAACACA